AGTGAGTGAGTGAGTGAGTGAATGAGAGAATGAGTGGGTGAGAGAGTGAGTGAGTGAATGAGAGTGAGTGAATTAGAGAGTGAGTGAGTGAGTGAGTGAGAGCGAGTGAGTCAGTGAGAGAGTGAGTCAGTGAATGAAAGTGAGTGAGTGAGTGAGTGAGTGAGTGAGAGTGAGTCAGTGAATGAGAGTGAGTGAATAGTGAGTGAGAGAGTGAGAATGAGTGAATTAGAGAGAGAGAGAGTGAGTGAGTGAGTGAGTCAAAGAATGAGAGTGAGTGAGAGAGTGAGTGAGTGAGTGAATGAGTGAATGAGAGAGTAAGTGCGAGAGTGGATGAGAGAGTGAGTGAATGAGAGAGTGAGTGAGTGAGTGAATGAGTGAATGAGAGAGTAAGTGCGAGAGTGGATGAGAGAGTGAGTCAGTGAGTCAGTGAGAGGGTGTGAGAGAGTGAGTGAGTGAGTGAGAGAGTGAGTGAGTGAGTGAGAGAGTGAGTGAATTAGAGAGTGAGTGAGCGAGTGTGAGTGAGAGAGTGAGTGAGTGAGTCGGAAATGTTTTAATGTTTTCATTCTACTTACTATATACTTTTACTGACTATTCTCTGTATTGGAAACATCCTTCCATAAGTGTTGAAGGGGTATATTCTTTAGGATGTTGATTGCGTGTATGGAAAAGAAAACAAACAGTAAAATACACTAGGCCACAGGCATGAGTAAGCTTTTCTGGTTAATAAACTGGAATTACGTTATAAGAGTGATCTAGATGGGCTTCAAAATGTGCAAGTATAATGAAATTTGTGACGTACACTGATAAGCTCCAGCATATCTATTATAGTTCAGGAAGGAGAATTAGATGGCACTGAGGATGGTTCTCCTACATACATTAGCTAGAAGAGCTACTAGGACCCAGAAGAGAAGGTAAATGGTGAGTGAGATGATTAGTTTATTGTGCCAGCCTGGCCGATAAACACAAGTCGGATTAATTGAAGGCGGAGAGATAAATGGCTCGGTGAGCCTTGCCTTTCTTGTTTCTCACTCTTTGATCATCGGACCAGTGTGCGGCTGCCTTGCTTGTTCTGTGCCTCAATTTACAGGCTACACTACCTGTGGGACACCTAGCCTGTGGGCTGTGTCACTGTAAGTTGAGGTCCCTCTAAGACCACACAGTTGAAATTTACATCTCTCGAGCTAAGGGCTGACAGTTGGTGACCTGGCTGACAGTTGGTGACCTGCCTTGCTGTTTTTCTGCCTGTGCTTGGATAGCCTAGCTCTCTCTCTACAGAGGACTGCAGGACGGCCCTCAAGACTTGAAGGACTGCTAGTGTCTCACAACTCTCTCATGGGAGTGAGTTGCACTGAGCCATTTGTACTGCTTTATAATTTAACTGTTCATTTCTTAGATATATATATATATATATCTTTATAATTTAACAGTTCATTTATTGTGTTATATATATCTATCTTTATAAGTATATACATAAAATTATCAGCAATCTGGTTTCATCTCTCTAGAGAACCCTGTGTAACATAGTGAACATCTTCAAGAAGCTGTTTCAAATCAAAACTGAGTTATAACTATACTGGGACAGTACATGCAACAGTACGTAGTTTTATTTTGGGCATTTCTAAAAATATTTTTACAGAGCTAGAAAAATTTCTGTTTAAAAAAAACAATAGCATTGCAAAATTAAAATTGGATCACAAGCTTATTACAAATCCGAGAATGATCGACTAAAATTCTTCTTCTTCACCTAATTCCTCTTAGAAATCTAACTGGTTCATTTGTGAAAAGTCTTCTTGTTGTTGTTGTTAGGTGCCATGTGGAAATACAAAGGGATAAATACTGATAGCCATTGTCATTTAATTACACAGAGTGGCTTCCTCTGTGTCAAGAAAGGACTCCTAGTAGTGATTCCAGGTAAGCATTGAACTGCTAGTCACCACGCTGGCTTCTCAAACCCACCTACTGCTCCACAGGAGAAAGCTGAGACTATCTGCTCCAGTTGGAATTTACAACTTCAAAAATGCCTCTCAGGATTGGTGTGAGTCAGAATCATACTGACCCATGAATTTTATCTTTCACTAGGTCTTCATTCCTCAGAGGGATCTTGGGGGCCTACTTCACTATACTGAGGAAGATCTATAGAGCTGGATACATTTGCTGTATCACCTGTGGATGGTTTCTACTGATAGGTCAAGAATCTCTGGTCACACTGTGGGTAGACCTTGGGCTATTAACTGTAAGGTCAGCAGCTCAAATCCATGAGCCATTCCATGGGAGAAAGAGGAGACTGCGATCTCATAAAAACTTACAGTCTTAGAAATTGTAAATAATGTTACCATGAATTATAAATAGCACAATGACAGTGGATATTTTGTTGTTGTTTTGTTTTGCTTTATATGTCAAGTATTATATCAGTTTCTTCAAATCTGTTAGCTAATTTAATACTTACAGCTACTTTATGGGGTATTACTAGAGTATAAATACAAATCAATTTGAGCATTATGAAATATTATTAAAATGTGAAAGACAGATGAAAGAAATTATATAGGAGACCCTCATGAGTATATTTTTAAAAAGCAAGTTATTACAATATTCAAGAGGAAAATCTGGACTGGGTCTACTGAGGTGAGAGAGGTCATTGAGAATGATGCTGGTGGCCAGAAGTTGTGAGTCTATAGAGGGCATACAGAGGAAAGGATAGGCTAGAAAAGAGAAGAAAAGGAGTTAAGGTAATCGTCAGCTTCCTAAATTGAGGCAAATTGTTAAAATGGTAGATATGTGTTAGGTTCAATCTGCCCCAGTTCAGTTTTCCATGCTGTGCTCACATGGCATAAGGTAAACAGAAGGAGTAAGATCTCATTTTTGTTCCCAGTAATGCCTGGGGTTTTCACAATGATGTTTGATTTTTTTAAAATTAAAAAGCATAGGGCCCTTTTTTGATTAAATAGATTTTTATCTTTTCTCTCATACTGGAAAAACATATTTCCTACTTTAATGGACAGTTCCAGGTTAATTTAATTCATTTCTTGCCTTTGGCGAGAATTTTAAAAAGACACGTGATGAATGGTTACCCACCATGTCTTATAAAGCAATATCACATCATCTTACAGGATATTGGGGATAGGGCAATTAGATGTAGAAAAATTCATTAGAAGTGTTACCATTTTAGGCTTTTATGATTGCAGGGTGTACTAAGTACAAGAGCTTAGGGAAGTAGGGTCCAGATCTTAGGGTTCTGCTGAGAAGAAGCCATTTTAGGACATTTAACTAAGCATTCGGTATTGACAAAGTATCCTGATGATACTGGAAGACGATTAGTCTCAGATATTTTTACCTTTCAATAGATCATTATTCTTCATAGAGCCCTCGGGGGCCTGCTTCAACAGTATGTTGCAGAGGATCTCCAAAGCTGGGCACATTTGATATATCGCTGGCCTCTTTCTTGACCTGGAGCAGTTCTTCAATGGCCAGGTTGTTATTTCTATTATCTTTCTGTTCATTTATACCTGGCCTCCCGTATCTATCTCTGTCTTCAAGCTAAGGTTCTAGAGTAACACTTTTATAGCAACAAAAATGTCAGGTATAGGTGAAAACTGAGCAATTTCCCAACTTCTAAATGATGACTGATTGCTCCAAGGATGGAGACCCTCTATACTGATGGCCTTGGTCAAGGCCACTGTTTCATTGCTGATTCATCATTGTTTCATTTCTTTTGTCCAGCTCTTTCAGATTCAGACCTTCCTCAATGCCAAAGCCAAACTCCACTGCTGTGACTGAGTTCCTCTTTGAAGGTTTCTCCAGCTTTGGGTGGCAGAACAGGCTTTTATTTTTTGTTGTCTTTCTGACATTGTACCTACTGACTCTCTCTGGCAATGTTATCATTGTGACCATCATTCACCTAGATCGACACCTTCACACTCCCATGTACTTTTTCTTGAGCATGCTGTCCATCTCTGAGACCTGCTACACAGTGGTCATCATTCCAAGAATGTTGTTTGGCCTCCTGAGTCCATACCAGTGTATTTCCATCCAAGGCTGTGCCACACAGCTCTTCTTCTATCTCACTTTTGGCATCAACAACTGCTTCCTGCTCACAGCCATGGGCTATGACCGCTATGCGGCCATCTGCAACCCCCTACGTTATTCTGTCATTATGAGTAAGAAGTCCTGTGCCTTTCTAGCATCTGGATCCTTGGGAATTGGGATGGGTATGGCCATCATTCAGGTGACATCTGTGTTTGGCCTGCCCTACTGTAATGCCTTTGTCATTTCTCATTTCTTCTGTGATGTACACCCGCTGCTGAAGCTGGCCTGTGCAGAGACCACTATCAATGAGATCATTACCTTTGTCGTTTGTTTCTGTGTTCTTATTCTACCAATGGGACTGGTCTTTATCTCATATGTCCTCATCATCTCCGCTATCCTTAAGATTGCTTCAGCGGAGGGCAGAAAGAAGGCCTTTGCCACCTGTGCCTCCCACCTCACAGTGGTCATCATCCACTATGGATGTGCCTCCATCATCTACTTCAAGCCCAAATCTCAGAGTTCCCTGGAGAAGGACAGACTCATCTCAGTGACGTACACTGTCATCACTCCCCTGCTGAACCCCGTCGTGTACACACTGAGGAACAAGGAAGTCAAAGATGCTCTACAAAGAGCTATAGGGCGGAAGCCCCTATCCTCTTAATAAGAAGATGTGGATGTCTTCTCTTTGTGTTTATGACAATGGGTTGATTACAATGTTGTTTTAGTAGTGTCTTTAAGCTATGGGAAGCATAGATTTAATTTAATTGGCTGCTGAGACAGGAAGTTTCCCTTTGTGATAGTCATGGTACTCTGTGTCCTGCTCCAGAGAGATTATACAATAACTTGACATACATTTGAGAATTTAATTGAAGTATTTACACACATAATTATCTCTTTTCTATATATACTAACACACATGTGTTCACAGTCGCACTCTTTACCATATTTTTATTTTTACCACTACATTAATACCAAAATCTGAAGGGGCTCTGAATGAAAACAATGTTTAGCAACCTACTCTGAAAGACATTTTCCTTGTTTTTGTGGGGAAAGGAACAATTTGTTTTGCTTTTTGAGAAGTGAGATGGTAGAATCATATATTATTTTCTGTGGATTTTATGACCTTCTTGTAACTTGATGCAGTTACTTGCTAATATTGCATTACAGCCTGTAAACTTTTCTAACTGCTGGTATTCATGGCTTCCAGGATTTCCCTTCCTGATCCTTTCTGGATCAACTCAGAATATGAACATAACCATAGGACCCAAAGACAGTGATCTCAATCAAGGATATGTAAACCCCTGAAGGTGATTGCCCCTCCTGTGGCTGATCCTGGGTGTGTAATTTGTATATTTACCAGTACACTCTATCTGAGGACAAGACTATCCACACCCCTGCTCTCTCATTAGAGGGAATTCAATGGAGTCTTAATCTGACTGGGGACTCTACAAATGGATTTCAGGCTTTTACTGTGGCCCATAGCCTTCTGCAAACCAGGTGCTCACAATTTAAGCTACAATATAATTCCCTCCTCTGATAATGGATTTTATTTTAATAATCCTTGAATCCCTCAAGCTGGTGTACTTCTGTGTGGACACAGCAGACATTTCACTTGGATAACTGCTTGCTTTAAGTCAAACTTTTAATACTCCAGACACTATTTTTTTCTGATAGCCAGGCATATATAGTTTCTTCACCACACTTAGCTGTAGCACCTATATCTTCAGTGATCATTTCATAAGGTCAAATATCATGCAGGGCAACATCATAACAAATTATTGTTCTTTTGTTAGACATTAAGATCAAGAGTGAGCTCAAAATTAATTTATATATCTCGGGTTTATATATATTCTTTGACCACTTTTGAGACACCATTATCAGCTTCTTGAAAAGTAATAAAAGTAACCTAATATTAATCTAGCCAATAGTATATAATTCAAAATACTAGTGATAAAAGGAAAATATACACATATAGTAAAGCTAATTAGACTAACATGAATGGAATAAATTAATTATTCAAATTAAAAATAACTGACTAGACACTGCTTAATAAAGCAATGGGGGTTAGGCACAAGACAAAAATTTCAATGATGCTCATTCACTAAGGCAAAACTATGGCTACAGTTCTATGACAAGTCACAAATAGCAAATATATGTTGGCATTAATTTACCAGTTATTAGATAATTTCAAAAGCAACAGATTTGAACCAATGTCCAATGATTTCAAAATCTAAAGGGTTGGGACAGTGGTCATCTGCTTCTTCTCATCCTAGGGGGTTTCAGCTGTAAGTCTAAAGGAGTATTGCAGGTCCTTTAATCTGCAACAGGTTTCATTATAGTAAAATTTGGCTCACTTAGTGGGTTTTCCAAATTTGATTTTTAGAGTGACTTTTGAAGAATGCTATATACCTCGACGAGCCAAAGTGTATACTCTAAGTAGGCTGTAGCACAAGGCCAAAGTTACCAAGGGCAGAAAAGAAATTCAGTGAAAAATATGTGATTTGCAATGAAATACAGGGTGGATAATCCCATTGGGGTCCTATAATGTTAAGCATTTTCCCCAAAGGCAGCCTGCCTCTCCCAAGTGTATCCACTAATAGGAATGAAATCACCTTCATCAGGACAGACATATCCCTCCTCCACTGATGATACATTTCCACAGAAGTTCACTGTGCATCAATGTAGACATTTCTATTAAATTGCTATGACTAGGAGACTATGCTACTTGGCAGGAAGTGGTTAATCTTCTTCCTCTCCTTCCTAAATGAAAAACGAATGCCAGCTGTAGTGGGCCTTCCTCTGAAGCAGTGCTTTTTAAGATGTACCAATAAGTGAGGCATAAATGTTACATTGCATTAGGCAGACATGCCACGACGTTGCTTGAGAGACCAGATTAAAGGATGACATGACCTAAGAA